CTTGTGGCAGCATGGATGAGCTCCTTTCCAGCCCCGGCTCTTAGCCTGTGATGTGATGTGGTTTTGAATGTGATTACGAATGTGATGTGATGTGTGTTTAGCGCCGAGTTCAGTGACCATCATGCGCTCTGTCTAGAGTTGGCACCATTAAAACGTGGGGCGAAAGGTCCGCACATGTCATATCATTGACATATTTGACCATGCCAGTGGCCGACACTTATCTATAGCCTCGCCTTTCTTGTGCTTGCAAGTGACCAGGGGTTTATTGTACAGAGATGGTCTGCTGAAGGCTCTTGTATGAAATCCAATGGTAAAATTGATATGAATTGATGACCCCGTTGGCTTCCTACGCATGTGTTGTAAGTCTGGGCCGCTGTCATCGCAAATTCGTATTTGTTCGACCAAGGATCTTGCACTACACTACATTCAGTGCTGGCTCTAAGCATGTTCAATATTATCTTATTTTCGCCTGAAAACATGCGGTGAAATTCAAACTGCTTCAAGATAGCAATTATCATCAGTTATCTACTGAACGAAAAACATACAAGATGGTTATGGACCATGCCTTGGAACATCTTGGGAACTCTTGCACAAGACAGACCTTTTTGGTGAACAGGACAGATCAAATGTTGACAAACATATCAAAAAATCCCGACACAAGCAAACTATCTTATGAAAGGCGAAACTGAAAGAACTGAATTGGGACTTGCCATCCACCCTGCATCAAAATCGAAGTTGATGGAGAGGGACTCCTTGTGCCCTTTTTTACAAGGCACAAGGCCTCCCTGGAAACGTTCCATCTCGGAAATTCAGAAATTTGTGGGTTGAAACAAAGCACGGGAACGCAGAACACCAGAGTCCATCGAAACAGCTAAAGGCAAACGCGTTTCCCATGCAAAGAGGAACCACTGGAACAAATTTGCTCAGCAAATCTTAATAGGATTCTTCAGAATACCGCCCTGCAGCTACGAAGTCCTGTGCATTTTTAGGAGGACAAAACCTGATAAGGCCATGATTCTTATGTTCTAGTCCCAACATGTCCCACAATGTCCAAAAATGTCCCACAAGCAAAGCAGGCAAAACTTGTTCACCGTTCTTGCCAGGGTCCTTGAACCATTTGTCAGATTCTGGACCAGTCTTTGGTGCCTCAACATCCAGTGAGACATGACTGAAGCAAAGGCAAAGAAACTTATGATCCTGATCGAAGGAAGTTTAGAAGTCAAACTTCCGACAAAAATGGACAGATGGAAAAGCAGAGGTGGGAAGAGTCAGAGAAGAGAAGAGAAGAGAAGAGAAGAGAAGACTCGCAGAATTGCTTCGTTTTGGCGCTGTCAAGTTCAAAACTTGAGGAAGTCTCGCAGAGGAAGTCTCGCAGAATTGATTCGTTTTCAAACTTGCAGATAGACAGACAGGCAGGCAGGCAGGCAGACAGACAGACAGACAGAAGGACAGAAGGACAGAAGACAGACAGACAGACAGACAGACAGACAGACAGACAGGCAGGCAGGCAGGCAGGCAGGCAGGCAGGCAGGCAGGCAGACAGACAGACAGACAGACAGACAGAGACAGATAGATAGATAGATGGATGGATGGATGGATGGATGGACAGATGGACAGATGGACAGATGGACAGATGGACTGACAGATGGGCAGATGGACAGATGGACAGATGGACAGATGGACAGATAGACAACTACAACTACAACTACAACTACAACTACAAGCACAACGGCAACTGCAACTACAACTACAACAACACCACACTACCACTACAACTACAAATGCAAATATACTACGCTACACTACACTAATTAAACTACGCTACACCAAGTACACTACACTACACTACACTACACTACACTAATTACAGTACACTGCACCAATGACACTACAACTATAACTAAAACTATTACTACTACAGCTACAGCTACAACTACAACTGCGCTACATTACACTACACTACACCACGCTAAACTAGACTACACTACAGCACGCAACACTACAGTACACTACACTACATTACAGCACGCTACAACTACAACTCCACTACACTACAGCTACAACTACAGCTGCACTACACCACACTACATCCAGCAGTTGTGGGTGAGGTGACCGCTGCAACCACTGCAAAAACACAACTCCAACCACGTTTCGGTCCATCAGTGGGTTCGCTCCGCAATCCATGCATCCCAACGACTCACCTCTCCTATAGTGTCCTATCTTTGAAACTTCCGCCATCGCCTTGTGCGTTACTATTGGTGCGTTACTATTGGTATGCAAAGCAATCTTCGCATATCTGTATATATATATATATATACCAGTAGTACCGCACAAGGCGGTGGCGGAGGTTTCAAGGATTAGGACACTATAGGAGAGGTGAGTTGTTGTGATGCATGGATGGCAGAGCGAACCCGCTGATGGACCAAAAGACGGTTGGAGTTGTGTTTTTGGAGTGGTTGCAATGGTTGCAGGGTCACCTCCGCACAACTGCTGGATGTAGTGTGGTGTAGCGCGGTTCAAAATAATTGTCGTGTAGTGGAGTTAATGTAATTAGTGTAGTGCAGTTGTAGTTGCAGTTGTAGCCGTGGCGTGGTGTAGTTATATAGTGTAGTGTAATGTAGTGTAGTGTAGTGTAGCGTAGTGTACTGTAGTGTTGTGTGCTGTAGTGCAGTATAGTGTAATGTAGTGTAGTTATAGTCGTAGTGTAATGTAGTGTAATGTGTGTAATATAGTGTAATGTAGCGCAATGTAGGGTAATTAGTGTAGTGTAATGTAGTGTTGTGTAATGTAGCGTAGTTGTAGTTGTAGTTGTAGTGTGGTGTAGTGTGATTAGTGTAGTGTAGTGTAGTGTACTGTAGTGTAGTTGTAGTTGTAGCTGTAGTTGTAGTATAGTAGTTGTGGTTGTAGATGTAGTTGTGGCGAATTAGTGTAGTGCAATTAGTGTAGTGTACTGTAATTAATGTAGTGTAATGTAGCGCAGTACATTTGTAGTTGTAGTTGTGGTAGTAGTGTAATGTAGTGGTAGTGGTAGTTGTAATTTTCAATTGTAGTTGTCTATCGATCGATCGATCGATCTATCTATCTGTCTGTCTTTCTGCAAGCTTGAAAACGAAGCTATTCTGCGAGACGTCCTCAATTTTTGAACTTGACAGCATCCAAAATGCAGCAAGTCTGCGAGACTTCCTCAAGTATTGAACCTGGCAATGTCAAAAACGAAGGAATTTTGCGAGGGTTCCGCAAGTTTCGACGTTGGCAACATCAAAAACGAGGCAATTCTGCGAGACTTCCTTCAAACAGGGAAAGTTGAGTGCAGAGCTCACGGCTTCATACCAATGCGTTTTGCGATTATTCCACTCCACCTGTCTAAAGTACTGCGCCTGCCACGAAAAATTGATGCCAGGTCATACGAAGTGCTGCACCTGTCACGCAAAATCATCTCAGCAAACCTGAAGATCCGACGCTCCAAAAAGCAACCCATCTCAGGAAATCTGCGCTCTGACTTCCTAACATCTCTGATGAACATGTCTCTTGTACTGCGCCTGCCACGCGACATGCATCTTTGCAGATCCTCTTCAAATGCACCACGCGTGCCAACGTTTTTGAAACTGCTACAAAACCCTCACGTTTTACTCACTTTTGACAGGGTGCAGAATCCTTTGCGCCTGCCAGACCAAGCAACGCTTCAACGTCCAAAAGTGGCGCGAACATGTTATGCTTTTTACATTTTGACTAGGAAATGTGCTTCATGCCACAACGGCGTGTGCTTTTTCAACATCTCAACTTCCAAAAGCGCTTCGACACTGAGGTGTTTTAAGTGTGCTTCGCACCACTAAAGCGTGCACTTTTTCGACATCTCAACTTCCAAAAGTGCTCCGACAATGAGGTTTTTTTTGCGTTTTGACTTCAACATGTGCTTCGCGCCACAACGGTGTGCAATTTTTCATCTCTCATCTCCCCAGATGGCTCCGCACCCGCCGCTTTAGCAAGCCTACTCTCCGACCCTCCGAAGCCACAAAACATGTGGAAAACACATGTTTCGCGACTTTTCTACCTTTTCGCACACCTGGATCTTCTTTCTTCTGACTCTTTCTCTTCTCTGATCTTCTTCCTTCTCACTTTCTCTTCTCTGACTCTTCCCACCTCTACTTTTCCATCTGTCCATATTGTTGGAAGTTTGACTTCTAAACTTCCTTCGATAATTGTGTATATATATATATACCTGGAAAACCTTAAAGACAAAATTTTCTGTCCGTACGGGTTGGACATTTCTTTTTGTCCTTTACGTGTTTTTTCCAAATACGGCCATGTCCGGCTGCAAACCCTCTACTTACAGGTTAATTTAGTTAATAGTTTTCCTGAACTCTTGGATTTGTCGGACTGGTTCCGAAAGTATGAGTGTCTCGTCTAGCGACAGTATTTGGGGCAGTATGTTGACATTTGCTTACTGTTTTTGTTCAACATTGTTGAAAAAATACTCTTATTTTATGGGTACATCCAAATTTGGTGGGAAATATGGCAGTATTTGTGGCCAGATTTGGGTGCCCGATCACGACTCCCAATTGGCTCCACTTTGGACTGAAATTCCTCTTTTGGAAACTGTCGGAGGATGTCCGAACACGGTGTTGTCAAGGGATTTGAACAACCCTTCACAATCAAAAACCAAAATACGCAATTGAAAAAAAAAGCGTCCGTTACGGGTAAAACCCATAATGGAAAAAAAATGTCCATACGGGTTTCCAGGTATATTATATATATATTATCAGAATTCATAAATCGTTCGACAGCCTCCATTCCTATGAGTGCAAGTCACTAGACTTAGTTTGCTCAAACTGCCGATATGCAATTGAATCTCTCGGGCTCGCAAGGTAGGTTGCTCGGGGGGACAGTGCTTTGACTTTGCTGTTCTTTGAAAGGCTTCAAAGTTCTCTGACAAAAAGTCTTGAAACGTTTGAAACTGCAAAGTACTGCAGACTGTGGCAGCTTCAGCTTCAGAAGTGACCTCACAAAATCTGCAAATGATGCCTCGACTGTAAGAGCCGCACGCCCTGGCCACCACGCTGTACCAACGCTGCCTTGAGTGCTTTCTGCACAGAGGGCGTTGCCACTGCAGGACCGCACATGAAGAAGTAGCCGCCCTGCGACAAAAATAACAGAGGCATTCAATGAATATAAAATCAAATGTGCAAAACTTACACCCCGATGGGCAAAATACGAGTGAACTGTTTCTGCTGATTCCTTTCCAAGCATAAGGGAGGTCTGAATGCTGTCTCCTAATATGTATGAAGGTTAACACGGTCTCACCAAGAGCTTTCTGTGTTCTCTCCTGCCTTCTCCAAAAGGTTGTCGCTAATCAGCTCCGGTTGCTCTGCCATCTTGTCAGAAACGAAGATCTGCTTCGGAGGATAATGTGGTTTGTCGAACCTAAACCAGCAACGAGTTTGACGAGACGCCTGTGAAAACATGTGAAAACCTTGGATTCCCAGAATAAGCTGGGTGGAATCCGTCGAATCTTTGCGTCCATGGCGCTGGAAGGCTCCAACCAGCTTGGTAAGGACACCCTCCTGTTCAAACATCCTTAGGAGCTTGATGTCCAACCGTAAATATCCGTAAATTATATATAGTAAATTTCAACCTTTGATCTTTGGACTCGCACAGCAGAAAAATTGCGGTTGACTCGGAAGCCATGCAAAAGTACATCGAGCCAAGCGAAGCCAGCATGTGAGCCGTGTCTATCGCGTGTTTCGTAGTTCTGCGCACTGTACAGAAAAGTACATTCTAGTACACTGCTTGTTATGCCTTTGACTCGTGACTCCTGAAGCAGTGTCTCAACATCAACTATCGGCAGCCAAATCTCTTCCACTCATCTTTGTAGAGAAGTTCCTCCTGCACTCAACATCCAAAAAGAAACTGAGCCACTATGGCACAAGCAGTCCCAAAACTCCAACTTAGTCTGGAAATGAAAGATTGGTTTCGCATGGTTTCGCCATGTTCTTCGTTGCTGCCCAAAAAATCATGCTGGTTGTATGGGAAGATTCAGATAAAAGTTGGCTGGTACTTGGCACACATTCCCTAATTTGTGCTACTGTAAATACATTCAGAACCTCGCTTTGCCACAAAGCTGGAGCCAATTTGTAAAAGCTATCACGACAGGACGCAACTAGCTTAAACTGTCCTGCTCATGGCGGCAGCCGTAGAAGACAACCATTGGTCCCGTAGGGATGCCGTTCTTCTTCTTGTACAGCTTGTCCTCTTCCCAGGCAGTGGCAGGCACAACTCGAAACTCTCCACTGCACACAGTGTCATGACTCAACTTGGACAAAGTGTGGACTATGGTGGACTTAAGCAATGCTGAAATCGGATTCTTCAAGCATCTCCTGCATGAAGGACCGGATAGGAGCCTCAGATTCCAGCTGAGAACTTAACGGATAAAGTAGCATAAGTAGCAAACAGGAAAAACGTAGGTCAGAACTCTCGCCTTTTTAAAAAAATGACATAGTGGCAGCACTTTGCCATAACTTGCGATGTCAAACACAGCCAAGCTACAATACCTGTTCCCAATCCAACCATGACCATTGGAGTTGTGTCTTTCTCTGGGAACTGGAACGTGCCACAAACCACAGCACAGGCAACCTGCTTTTGCTCGCCAGATTCCGTTCTAGAAATCATTTGCATGTGGCAGTGCAATCAATAATGAACATCTCGTTATAGTTCAATACAATAGTCAAAAAGTACTTCCAATCCGACTCTTCTGTCAGGAACAAGCACAATGGTTTCAATGCGCTTCAGATCTGCCTGTTTATCCAGAGGCATCTGCTGGATGAATTTCGTGCACGTGCCTGTCCAGAAACGTTCGATCTGAGGTCTGTCTGAATTGATGTTTGCATTCATCGCTGAGTCCATGCCCCATCCAGGTTTTTGGTAAGGAGACTGTAGGACTGTAGAAGCATTTGATAGCAATCGTCTCAAGTCTTTTCAAGTCTTTTCAAGTTTTTTCAAGTCTTTTCAAGTCTTTTCAAGTCTTTTCAAGTCTTTTCAAGTCTTTTCAAGTCTTTTCAAGTCTTTTCAAGTCTTTTCAAGTCTTTTCAAGTCTTTTCAAGTCTTTTCAAGTCTTACAAATGGTTTCGAAATGATTCGCGCATGTAAAGATCGGAAAATCCCGCCATGATCTGCCGCCTGTCTTCAGTTCACCTGTGGCTTTGGCCTTCCACTGATTGATGACAATCGTGAACTCCACAGCCTTTGGGCCTTGTGGCTGTGGGAGACTCTGGTAGACTTTAAAAACTGAAGCAGCTCCCTCTGCCTGTTTGCATGCCTGTCTGTCTGTCTATCTACCTGTCTATCTGTCTATCTAGATCAATCGGTGTATTTGTCTATCTTCTCTCATCGGCTCTAATCTAGGCTCTAACTCCAATCTATTCCAATCTTCTCTAATTCAACTTGTCTGTGTACACCTGTTGACCTGTCAGTGTATATATATATTATATTATATATATATAATGTAACTGTTTGCTTAGATCTGTGTATGTGTGCAAGTAAAAGCAACGTTTATAACGAAGGCACTGTATCTGGCATCGGAGGCAATCGAGTAGATGCCTCAGCTTTTGGCAGTTTCAAATGAGCTTCGAACAGAAAGCGATGTTGTGCTTAGCCTTCCCAAACAACTGACCTGGGGCAAAGGACGGAAAGGACTCGAAGAACTATGTAAGCAAGTTCTACAATTTATACAAGAGTGCCTTAAAGATCCTTGAAGATCCTTGAAGATCCTTGAAGATCCTTGAAGATCCTTGAAGTGCTTAATGCATCTTAATGCATTCCTTTGTGCCAAAGATACGAGGCTTGATCAAAGGCAGGACTGAAAGCAGCTGCTCCAGTGGCATCTTGGCGCTGGAGAATTTCCTAAGATAAAAATAATTCGAAAAAGAAACATCAGTTCGCCACACACAGGTCAAAAATGACGAAAAACGGCAATCCTGCCAGTGTCTGCCATTTCTGGATTCACCGGGAAAAAATTGCATACTGCATACTGCAATTATATGCAAGTACAGGTGTACTCAGCATAGCGTAGCATAGCTGGCATGCTCCAAAACAGATACCCTTGTGAACTGAGCCCTGCGCTTCATGAGGTCGAAGTAGGTCGGGCACTGTTCAGAAAGAGCCTTGGAAAACGGCTGCCTTTCTTAGCCACGTAATTTTTCCAGGAACTTTTAGCCACGTATTTTTTTTTAAAGCCACGAAACAAAACTTAGCTGCGTAAGTGTTAACCCTGTATTGTCACGTAATGAATCATCATATGTTACAAAAAGATTATTTTTGAGTACAAAATGATGATTTTTTCGGTACTAAAGGATGATTTCTCAGTACCATTTTTCGGTACCATATGATGATATCAAATTGTAGGATAAAAAACATCAAACCGTACCGCGAAATCATCATATTGTACCGAGAAATCTGTTTTCTTTGTGTTTTTCTTTTTTCATGTGCTTTTTTCTTTTTTTTTCTTTTTTTCTTTTTTTTGTGTTTTCCTTTTTTCTTCTTTTTTTCCTTTCGAGGCTAAGATGTTGACTTTTCGTGGCTAAACCTATTTACGTGGCTAAAAAAAACCATTTGAGGGCTAAAGATTTTTTTTTTTTTCGGGGCTAAAAATCGGTCCCCTTGGAAAACCATGTACCACACCCAGGTTTGGCTTTGAAAGAGAATAACACTTCAGAATACTTCAGAAAAAGAGGTTGAATCAACTTATTTTCAATCTTGTCGCGAGTCGCATACGCCATATCGGAGCGGGAGCTACGGAGTGACAATACGTTCAAACACGCCTCTCAAAGTTTCAATTTGCTGGGCTCTAAACCCAGTCCCAGTTTGTAGTCTAAGTATGGATTGGAAACGATAGGCGGGCATTTCCGCTTTAGAGGAATTGATACTGTAGATTCAAAGAATGCTCTCGAATGCTCCGGAACCCCATTGAAAACGCAGAGGAAACGCAATTCTCACGATCTCATCACAACCAGGACGAGGTACTACCCATTCATCTTGGTGTGGAAACTCATCAGGGCCAACGGACCGGCTGAGCTTTCTAAGGGCCTTTCAGGGACACGGAAGCCGAACGAAATCTAATGAACCACAACGAACCTGAATCAGGTAGAACAAGGTACTTCGATGTACTCTGTATTGCTCCGCATGATCTTCGTTGAACTTGGAAGACTATACTATGCATGGATGTTCATATACTTTGATCTATTTTGATGACTGGCTCTTTCATCTGGCTCTGTCACTTAATTATTTTACCAGCCCAAGCAACGACAACGAGCTCAAATAATGGCCAAATAGCCAAGAACGGCTATAGATCAGAGTAAACAGCCTCAAAAACAACCTGTAAGGAAAACCATTACAGTAACAAAGAATGAAGAAACGAAAACACACATGAAACCAATGGAGACGGAACAAACTCGAAAATTATATGGCTGCACCTCAAGCTTGAGCCTTGCCTTCGCCTCTGCATTGTTTGCAAAGCGGGCAAGGTCAGCACAAAAGGACCGTGAGGGGCGGCCTACAGTGGACTCGGTCGATACTCTGTCGACAGTATGTTCCACTGCACAAAACATCACAAAACCAAGAAGCAGCACAAATTCAGCGCAAATTTCTTCAGCGAAAGTGCAATTTGCAAATTTCACAAGTACAATCTCTGTTCAAAAGTATGGTTGGCTTAGATGTTGAGTCCTATTCTAAGGTAAATCTTTCCTCTTGAACCAACTTGGACCCTGACCAAACAGATCCAGCATGTTCCTTAGGCAAACGGAGCAGCTGGCGAAGACAATTGTTTTGTCTCATCAGAAATTCGTAAGGCTTCGAAAGGAACAACGAATGAGATCGCAGATAACTATTAACCCTTGGATGACACAAAACAATGCGAAACATAACCAGACACGACAAGATATGACGACGCGACGACGCGACGATGCGACGAGAAAAATGCCAAGGGTCGTCAGGACTTGGCGCACCGTAACCCGCCGATCGAAAGCTCGTCGATGTCGCTCGGACACGTTCTCTGAACACTTCACCGAAATGACGCGGTTTCCGTCAAGGCTCAAAAACTGAAGTGCTTCCTTGGTGCAGAGAAATAAGATGAAATAAGATGACATGAAATGCGGAAGCGAGGAAGAAAGAAAAAACATGCCAAGCCATGGCAATAAGTTACCTACAACATCATGCAGCGTCTTCCTTCATGAGTGCTTCCTGCTGCTATACACTGCCAGCAATTAGTAGGATGACAAGCGTCAAGAAATTCAAGTACTGTCTATCTGCCCGTCTGTTTGTATGCTGCATGCTGTATACGTACATGTATGATCATGTATGTGCGTGCCAAGGAACGTCAACGTCCTGAGACGAATCAACAGAGCTCCCGGGCATTCGGACAGCTGAGTGAGTTTTCAAACACAACCTGCTAATGGTGACTGAGACCTCTGCCTGACAAACCTATTTGTTTTGAGCCTGATTGCCTCATGCTGCTTCATGGTGCTTCATGATCTTCAGCAAATCTTTCGACCAGGCGCCTGTGGCAAGTTCTCTGGGTAGATGGCCACAGCATCCTGAGTTCCGAGTGCACAAGATTTGTAGAACATGACCAAACGTGCCAACCGTGCCCTCCAAAACACAAGAAAAAACAATAGAGATCACAACGGCCATGGCCAATGTCAACTTGCTCACGCGAGCACACCACAAAATTCTTACTTGAACAGTCTGTAAGTCATGATTAAACATTTAGACTTTAGTGACTTTGATCTAAGTATCAGATAGCATCAGTACAACCAAAGCACAACCAAAGCACAACCAAAGCACAACCAAAGCACAACCAAAGCACAACCAAAGCACAACCAAAGCACAACCAAAGCACAACAAGTGTATTGCATTGTAAGGTCATCACCGAGGAACTCCGAGGTCGAATGGAAAGTCAACCCCGTCCTTGCTCAAGGCAACGTGTCTGATATCGCGTTCATAGCCTGCAGGCGTCATACCTCAGCACTTGTCACAGGACGAAGAGAAAAATGCTGGTACCTGAACTGTCAGGAAAGCTGGGAAAAGCATAGCTATCGAATAGAAGGTTGCAATATGTTGCAATATTGTTAAAACCTCGCCACACCAATGAACATGCAGACATGAAAATAGCACACTTCAGAATTCTGATCATCTATGCTAAGCGACGCTTGTTCTCAACCACACTCAAGAGCTGTGCACCGGGAGGTACGATAGGAGAGGTATGCACTGCAGCCATGTCGTGGTACTTCACCTCGAAGAGTGGATCCTTGGGCCTGTCAGAACTGTCAGAACTGTCAGAACTGTCAGAACTGTCAGAACTGTCAGAAGGGCAAAGGCTGTTTTGATTGATACATTAGACATCATTAGACAGCATAGCACCATGTCGCACCTGATTGTGACCTAGTAAGATGCAAATGTGATAGAATCTTGCTTCCACTCTGAACCTTTGAGGCATATGAAAGTGCCATTGACTGCTGGAGTTTGAACCAATTTCACGATCTTTGTAGACGAAAGAATATGCAGTTGAAGAGTTGAAGGGCAAGTTTTAAAGAGCCTCCTCCAATGTGCCAAGCCTCCCATCATCCTCCGGCTCGGGAGCTTTCAACGTCAGCCACAGCTTTGGCAACCACTTTAGAAAGCCAGTCTCCCACTTTTCCTTCGCACCGTGGATCTGTGGAAAATTCAAGCCAAGTGAATGGCACCAAATTTCCTTTCTCTTTTGGGGAAGGCAGCCTCTCAACATGTGTGTGACAGTGTGGTAAGATTCAAATATTTGCCCGTTGTCAAAACATGTTGAAACATGTTCTTTTAAACACATGTTGTGTTTCACTTTTAAACACATGTTGTGTTTCACTATCAAACTTCCATCACAGCATGGTCCAGCACACGCCTCATCACGGTCATCTCCAATGCCCATCTCCAGAAGTCGCTCGGCGCCTAGGCTCAAAGGCTTGACCAACCCGGCAGAAACGAAACGGCAGACATCGGAAGACATCGGAAGACATCGGAGCTCAGAAGTCACGCAGACTTGAAGACTTTGTTGACGGCCACCGTGACGATGACTCAAAAGCAGTCGCTAGACCTCCTGCAGCACCTAGCTTCAAAGCAAGAAGTACTGTAGTAGGCAGTTGGTGTACTCAGATGTGAGTTCATACTGTGGTATATCACAATATGATGCGTATGTATTTTTATACTGTACACATATTCAATCATATTCATACATACGTACTCCTCACACTTGTATCTGATCATAGCAGTCATAGCACCATTGTTTTAGAGCAAGTCTCCGAGCTCAAGCATGCGCTCCTCGATTTTCTTTGCTGCTTCGCAGAAAGAGTCAGCATAGCTACGATCTCCCATTCCGAAGACGCAGAAGCGCAAATCGCTGAGCTCCTGCATAGGGCAATGCAAGCAGCACCATAGCAAGGTGCACCCGAGCTCAGCACATTAGGGTAAACATGCTTGACAAGAAGTACCAAGAAAAGAAGAATCTGTCTTATGATGTCTTATGACTGCAAAGGGAAATCACTTTCGGTTGAAAGGGCATGTGTTTGACTGGAAGCAGCTTAAGCAAAGTTTTTGCACAACACAACCTCAGTTCTCTTGATATTTTGCGACCATCATGCACATCATCTTTTCAACAAAAGATCTTTACCTACAGTGTACCCCTTCTGACGAGATCCTAGCGAAGCACCAAGGACCCAAATTACTACTGCTGCAAATTAAGAAATTGAGAACCAACATCGCCTGTTTTGCTACTAGATCAACATTTATCAACATTTTCTTGATTTAATGAATTTAATGTCTCGTTTTATGGAAGCGCAATGCTTGCCCATTCCCCATGGAAAATCAACTCTGATCTTACCAGGAAGACCAATCATCTCATGGTCTAAGTTCTCTGCTTAAAGTCAAACCAAAGTGCTCCAATAAAGATCCCCTCTTGGCATCTTTTAGCTACCAGTTTCACCTCCCTTGCCTGCGGTCATTTCTCTGAGCAAAAGTACCACTCCAGGACTTTGAGCTGACAGACTGAGATCTAAAGGACATGCCCAAGATTTGCCCTCTGCCATGCCCTGTCATGCCCTGTCATGCCCTGCCATGCCCTGCCTTGCTCGCCAAATTCTGCGCAGAAAGGCTGCTCCAAAACAGCCCTGCATTCTGTGGAAAGTCGCCGTGGCCACAAGTCGAGCACATCACCACACACACTGCACCAGCGCAGGCGGCCTGAAGTGACCAGCTGTGGAGCACAAAGGAACCACATCCACGCAAAAAATAAAACTTTGGTTTTAAGATTTTACCATTCTGCTGGGATACCTTGGGCACCTCTGAAATTAATTTATTCTTCATACGTTTCCATGCATGAATGCAACCATTCTGACTGGTCAGTTTCTTCAAGTGTTCGGGACTCGACAGTTGCAATGTGTTTGTGAAACATTGTGAAACCAGCTCACCAGTGTCACCTGTGTCACCAGGCTTGCGCATGCAGTTTGTTTGTGAAATCCTAGACCGTAACTGCCTTCAAATCCTCCATGTCGCTGAGCTCGTCCAAATCGCAAACTCGTCGGACCACCACACCGCGATCTTTGCAAAGACCTGTAGCCATGTCGACTTGAGCAAAATTGTACGTTCAACATTCAATGTACATTCGATGTACATTCAATTCTCATTGCTTCTCGTTGTTTCTCATTGTTTCTCCCACCCTGTTTCACCGAGGTGTTTCATCTGTTTGTGCGATGCCACGCTGTTGGATTTGTAGCTAAAGACGCTTGTTCGGATGTCACAAGTGTGTGACTGGGTTTCTTTGGCAAATGTCGAGTTTCCTTGTGTACCTGGGGAGCGCATTGGGCAGAACATAAGCTTACCAATGCCCTGAAATATCTTCAGTTATGTACAGTCACTGTATACTAACATAGTAACCATTGATACTGTATATATATATAATTATATATATACATATATAATTTATATAGTTGTTCTATACAGAACTAGCTATAGTTGTGCAGTATATATGAGCTATACACATCACATACATACACAGTTGTCAGGGATCTCAACAACAAGTTGCCTGCGAACTTTTTTGCCACCTGCTCCGTCACACCAGTGTCCTGAGCGAAAGTCATCATGCCACTTACCTTCAATTTCCTACACCTATTGCTTCAAAGTGCTTCAAATTGGAGGGCTTGACTTGTTGCTGTGACCTTTGTTGGACTGTGCTCCAAATATAACATGCCAAGTACTCTTTGAGTTGCATCTTTCCCTGCAACCAACGTTGCACATCTCATTTCTTGGCACTACTTTCCTCATTTGAAATAAATATCTGTACTTGCTGAAATACGTTTTTCATCGTTTTTCCTCATGAGTTTGGGTGAGAATCGGAGCCAAAAGCAATCAGAACCTGCTCTGCGGCACTCTCGGCCTGCTTCAGCCCATCCTGCAAATCAGGTATAGCGACACAGCTTTATTGGAATGTTCATAGTCTGAAGAATAGCAGTAACATGCAGTAACAAGGTTTTCATGATGCAGATGGGATGACTGTGAGACTGGAAAGCAACACTTCGGGCACATTCCAACATACTTCAACATACTTCGAATATACTTTACAGCTTAGTAATATACGGTACTTTTTCTAATCTACTTCGTACTACTTTCTACTTCAATAGCCGGTAGCCTTTCTTGCATCTTGAGCTTAGGACAATTTACATCAAGTTACCGTAAGTCTATCACGAGAATATTCTTGAGAACTTACGTGCATCATATCTCATGTGAAGATTCAGTGAGGATGTTTTTTTTGTCGGGAGCTCCACTGGACGTCCTTGAGGGAAGTCGCTTCCTTGGAAAGCTCGGCTGCCGCCTTTTCCCTCAATGCACTGTGGCGCTGTTTCAGATAGACCTGCCAGTGCCACCAGTGCACATGGATGCACATGGAACGCTCAGATAATATATGTATTCAAGTGTTCGATAAAATTTGACAACGCCTTCAGCGTCTTTTCACTGAACTTCTGTCATCGAGGGTGCCTGTAATTCTCCTTGCAGCTTCTCTGCCACAGCAGGGCTCGATCGCACCAGCTGTGCATATCGGTTCTGCCGGTTGAGAAATTTCATCACCTTTGACCCACACCATCCCACTTCGTCCTACTTCATCCCATTTCATCCATGTTCCAATGGGGAAAAAAACACCTGTTTGATGGACAGAAATTGTGCATCGACATGATCGGCCACAAAGCACTTTGCATTGGTCACATTGAATTGTCAATATTTTTGAATGTTTAGACATGTTTGTTGATTTTTCTTGACTGTAGGGCCGTAGTTTTGATTTTGATGTTTGTCCGTCGGTTCAAACAGTGCTCGTACCCTGTACCAAGCGGCATCACCAGTGACCTTCTTGGAGTCCAGGATGAAGGGATTTCGACCCTCGCGCGACAACTTGGGGTTGAAGCGATACAACGGCCAGTAGCCACCTGTGCCAGACAAAGATCTGCAAAGATCTGAAAGATCTGCGAAGTAAAGGATGTGTCAGGATGTGTCAAGATGTGTCAAGCACCCATGCCTTGCTGCATTGCACTACTTTCCATCAGTCTTTGAAAGGACGTGAGCCCATTGTTCTTCAGACAAACTCGCAATCAGATGCAATCAGTGACCACAAACTTATTTATGACTTGTTTAGTTTGGCTTCTTTGCCCATTGTTGCCAAGGCAAAAGGTAAAGATTTAGGTTGGGCTTTGGCTTTTTTGCCAAAGGCAAAAGGTAAAGAAGCCAAGGGCTCGCTGTTGCCAAGCTGCATTCCACTGCATCCTTCTGGTCCAAGGACATGGCAGAGAGGCCTCACCGTCAGGAGAGAGGGAGAGATTTGGTCCATGAGTCAAAAACGTCAAGATGAACGAAGATGAACACGGATGTTTCTTGAGGTCATTTTGACTCACCAAGACCGCGAGCGCAACGGCTCCACCATAGCCTCCTTTCAAGACTCTTAGAGTGGAGCTGCACTTAATGATACTACATGACACCACACTTTAGAATCTAATCACTGCAATCGCAGCTATTCCGCTTCCAACACGGACTTCACAGTGACAGTCTGCTTCTGAGCAGCTGTTGGATTGAAAACACACAATTGCCCAGCCTGTTTTGAAAAAACGGTGTTCAATGCAAGGGGCGTAGCACATCAGGAGTGCTGGTCCGTCCTGAACTCAATTAATGCAGGACATGTGCAGGACATGTGCAGGACATGTGCAAGACATGCAATTGTTGAAATCGCCAATGCGGTGAGACATGGCAAGAGTCTAAGAGATGTGCCTTCTACTTGCAAAACCGAGTAGGATTCGCAAAATTTACAACTGAACAAGTCAGAACTTGGATTCCTTAGATTCATCCCTCTTTTGAAACAGCCGAGTCTCGTATTTCTCAGCCTCGGCGAAAGCTTCCACAGTTTGCTTGTAATTGGCACCAATTGCCACTGAAGCCACCTGACTTCAACGGGGAGCTCAATATGCTCAATGCAAAAGGTAAAGAGTGGCATACAGGCGATCAGTGATGAAGATTCTGAAGATCTCATATTTATCATATACATATATATATATAAATATACGTTTTTTTTTTGAAAAACAAAAAAACAATTATTGAACTGAAAATGCAACATGTCATGTGCGCCGAGATGCGTAGACGTGCTGGTAGGCCATAGCCATTGCTCCCAAGTCTTTTTTACGCTGGTCACGGCCAGCCTTCGCACATAAAACAGCAACGTGAAGGCCCTCTTTGCTGGAGAATTCATATAGAATCAATGAGAATCAATGAGAATCAATAAACCCAATGAAATCAAAATGTTGTGAGATGTGACAGAAAATGTCATCGCTGGACCTGAGCAAACTTGGCCACTGCACCCATCGGCGTGGACTTGGATGACTGTCCACCAGTGTTGCTGTAGACCTCCGAAGGTGTCAGCAGTTCTGGTTTTGTTCTGCCAAGCAGAAATGAAGAACTCCACCGTCCCTGCCTCTGTGTCGAGCACCACAATTTTCACGTTGTTGCCACTTGCAATTGCATGGTCGATGCCACCATAGCCAATGTCATTTGCCCACCCATCACCACCAAACATCCACATGGACGGCTTTGTGAACCTTGTCAAAAGCAGAGCTACTTGAAGATGCTTGACACTTTGGATTCCAGTTCAAGTCGTGCCATCTTTCCGATTCTAGGATGTTTTTACGTATTTCTTATGAGATGATATTATATATATATATATGTGCATTGTACATGTCATGCATGAAAAAGAAGCACTTGCAGCTTTGGAACAAGTCCTTGAGGCGCAAGATCTCTGCAATCTCCTGAAACAAGAAGAGGGTCTGCAGACTGAAAACAATACCTGAAAACTTGGGAGTAGTGTGGACTTGTTGAAATATGTGGAATATAGTCCCATTTGCCGAGTGCTGATTTGCCCAGCGGAGTTCCTGTCCTTTGCCTTTTCTTTTTCTGCCTCCAACAATGGCTGCAACTCATCAGAGAGGCGTTCGGAAATGCTACCGTCCTGGCTTGCCACAGCTCGTGCTTGCGCTACATGCCACTGCAAACATTGATCAATGATCATGCGCTGGTGATGCTGATGCTCATGATGACAATGATTAACTTATGATTATAGTTATTACTATCATTATCATTCATTATCATCATTATTCTTGTTGTTGGTGGCCTGATTATGTTGACGAGGAAGATAGGGGGGTTTGGTCATAAAAATGAGGACGTCCTCTCCAAACTCGAGCCACTGTTCCAAGAGGCTCCTTGCAGGAACCGAGAGGTCTGACGAAGAGCTTCTATTCGGATGGCATGACAGGATCGAGGTCTCTGATCAGTTTTTGCATGCCAACAGAGCTCAGCGTCAATGGACATGAAAGTTTTGTTCATTGTTTTCAATCTATGTGTGTGCTTTCAATGTTACAATGCGCTGTAGACTTGCACTACATCCGGTCCTCAAGGCGGTAGACATAGACTTTCCTGCGCGGGCCAAGGCTGCTTCAACCCTGTCACGAAGTTGGCGCCTTCGCTGGCGGACATGGATCACCTGCAACGTCAAGAGAGAGAGAGAGACAGAGAAAGCAGCGAAAAGTTCGGAAAAGTACACAAATGTCAGAGATTGAGAGTGGGATTTGAAACTATTGCTGGCTGTTTCCACAGCGATCTTCACACTTTGCGAAGCCGGGTCCACGCAGAGATGGGGGAAGAATTGGCCAATGTGGATGAGTGGCTTGGCCAAGACCATACTCTGCGTTGTCCTCGAAGAGCGAATTGCCCCATGCGGCACCCTTTCCGGTGGCCTAAGCGAAACAAATCGAAGCAAAACAAACCTTTGATTCCAAGGATCAACTATGTATCTATCTATCTATCTATCGATCGATCGATCGATCTATCTATGTATCTATCTATCTATCTATCTATCTTTCTATCTATCTATCTATCTATCTACCCATCCATCTATCTATCTTTCTGTCTATCTATCTATCTATCTACCCATCCATCTATATTTCTTTCTGTCTATCTATCTATCTATATATTTATCTATCCATCTATCTATCTATCTATCGATCTATCTATGTATCTATCTATCTATCTGTCTATCTATCGATCTATCTATGTATCTATCTATCTATCTATCTATCTATCGATCTATCTATCGATCTATCTATCTATCTATCTATCGATCTATCTATCTATCGATCTATCTATCGATCTATCTATCTATCTATCGATCTATCTATCTATCGATCTATCTATCGATCTATCTATCGATCTATCTATCTATGTGTCTATCTATCTATCTATCTATCTATCGATCGATCTATCGATCTATCTATCTATCGATCTATCTATCTATCTATCGATCTATCTATCTATCGATCTATCTATCGATCTATCTATCTATCTATCGATCTATCTATCTATCGATCTATCTATCGATCTATCTATCGATCTATCTATCTATCTATCGATCTATCTATCTATCTATCGATCTATCTATCTATGTATATATCTATCTATCTATCGATCTATCTATCGATCTATCTATCTGTCGATCTATCTATCTATCTATCTATGTATCTATCTATCTATCTATCGATCTATCTATCGATCTATCTATCTATCTATCTATCGATCTATCTATCGATCTATCGATCTATCTATCGATCTATCTATCTATCGATCTATCTAGCTATGTATCTATCTATCTATCTACCGGTCTATCTATCTATCTATCGATCTATCTATCGATCTATCTATCTATCTATCGATCTATCTATCTACCTATCTATCGATCTATCTATCGATCTATCTATCGATCTATCTATCTATATATCGATCTATCTATCGATCTATCTATCGATCTATCTATATATCGACCTATCTATCTATCTATCTATCGATCTATCTATCGATCTATCTATCTATCGATCTATCTATCGATCTATCTATCGATCTATCTATCGATCTATCTATCGATCTATCGATCGATCTATCTATCTATCTATCGATCTATCTATCGATCTATCTATCTATCTATCGATCTATCTATATATCTATCTATCTATCTATCGATCTATCTATCTATCTATCGATCTATCTATCGATCTATCTATCTATCTATCGATCTATCTATCTACCTATCTGTCTATCTATCTTATTTATCTATCTATCTATCTATCAATCAATCAATGAATCTAATCTAATCTTATCTTATCTTATCTTATCTAATCTAATCTATCTGTCTATCTATCTATCTTATCTATCTATCTTATCTATCTATCGATCTATCTAATCTAATCTATCTAACCTATCTAACCTATCTAATCAATCAATCTATCAATCTATCTATCTATCTATCTATCTATCTATCTATCTAATCTATCTAATCTATCTATCTAATCTATCTATCTAATCTAATCTAATCTATCTATCTAATCTATCTATCTATCGATCTATCTATCGGT